TGAGAAGCGAGAGTGCTAACCACTCAGCCACCGTGGCGTCCCATTGTGACGGAGCAAACCAACCGGCAAACTGAGAGCCACTCGCGCTTCCTGTTTTGAGCGTCTCGCACGAACGTCTGACGTAATTGATGACGTCATCGTATTTTTCAGTTTTGTTTGAAAATGTATTGAATTATTTTTCCTCTGCTGCGCCAGAGTACTTCGTATCCAGAACCCCGTCACACCCACATAAATATAAATACACAATCAAGCAACAGTATTTGCTATTGTTTCACCATGTGTTGGTAAGTTTACAATTCCAAGATAAGACAAGTTAAGAGAAGCTTTATTTGTCCCACAGTGGAATGTTTTCAAAAGTATCATGATGAAGAGTTATGTGAAGGTGTGACCAAAGGGAGGCTATGGATTCGTGCCAATACTTTTGTGACGGTCATTAAACCAGGTTGCAGAAGTCCGAAATGTTCAACTTGACGGTTACCTGAAGGTCGAAGCAATCTGTGACGTGGCGGATGCATAGAGGAGCTTCCTGGGTACACAACTATGAGAACACTGCAAAACTCTCAGCCGTGTCACTCACACAAATATGAGAACGCAGCAACACTCTTGGTTGTGTCGCTTATGCTGTGAACCAATAAGAAAACATATCTTCAGCCGAGACACAATCCCAGATCTCTGCATCTTTTGACATTTGCTTCAATGCACTGTGTGCGTTAAGAAATCTGAAGCATCTTTTGTTATCACACAAACAGCTGGAGGGTCTGAGAGAAAAAGCACGGAGGCTGGCTGAGAGGGGAATCAAACCCGCACTTTTCTTTGCCCTGCCACTGACCAAAGCAAACTTCAAGGCAAGTTTATTACACGAGACAATGCAGACTTTGAAGCTCGGATGGGAGACTTCTTTCTCCGTGACATTTGTGATATTCTCCTGCCCTTTACTGGCACATAGTTGGAGATAAAGGTCAGTCTTGGTTCGACAGCGCTGCAGTAAACCATCAGCCTTTCCCTGACACTCGGGCCACAAAGGACAAGTCTAAAGGACAGCAGAGGGACGGGGTTATGACCAGCTGACCATCACCCCCTCAACAGGTCCTGTATGGGCCCTATAGGCTCTGTCAGCGGCCCTTTAACCTTCACTGGACTGCGGTGGAGCGAGAAAATAGTTCGTAAGATCAACGGCCATAGGGCAGAGGTACGGCGTTTTGGACAGGACGGGGCGGCAGAGTTTAAATGCTAGGATGATATGAAATGACTATATTTGGCTCCTTCAATAAAGTACAGCTATAAACAATATGTGTGAGATCTTGTCCTTAAAAGAACTACTTATACTTTAGTCAGTATTGTTATAAAGTATGGCATTCAAGGTTAAACCAATCTGTTTCGAGACACTAGTCATGGCAGCTCTAATGCAAATTTTTTATGACTTTCTCTTCTTTAAATTGCTAATGGCTACAGCAACAGCCCTTTTCTCATCGCTATGAAACTATAATGCTAACTCTGTGTGGAGGCAAACCTTAGTTGAGGTGTGTTCCAACATTACTAGTGACGAGCAAGAAACACAGTGCATATTTTTGTTTGCTTATTGATGTAGCGAAAGCGGTAGTATTGCTTTTTCTATTATAACAGTAGAAATATTAGTGGTAGTAGCAGCAGTAGTACTCAGCATGTACACAGAAACAGCTTTTTAGTTTGGAGAGTGTTTTCCTTCTACTTGAGGGAAATTATTACGTATTTGACTAGAACTTGAGTCTAACGAGCTAAAAAGCAGTATAATGGCATACCCAAAGATGGATGAGCTCTTACACGATCACTTTATGAATTCTCAATTGCATTTTTAAAACAAATCCTCCGATATAAAAGCAGTTCCATGACAAAAGGTCTCTAAAAGCTCATCTAATCCATGGGGATCCTAATGACTATACCTGTACTATTTAAATGACATTCTGAAAGGAGCTTATAGACATACATTACTCTGTGCAGTGTGTTCCTTTGGGAGACACACTGTCATTATCTGCTTCTTAGCTGAACACAACTTTCCACAAGTATTATCCCTTAATAACTCTTCAGGAGCAAAACAAAGCGAAGGGGAGGATTTGGTAAAGCTGCGTTCAGTGTTTCACAGCGGGGCCGCGTTCAAAGACAGTAATGTGTTTTATGTCTTTAGCAAAAGCTCATTTAGTCGTACTTTGAATAGACTTGCTTTTTACATGAGGCATGCTGGGTAGAGGCGCGGGGTATTGCGGGCTAGCGGAACATTATGAGCATTTATGACAGGTCGCGGAGGGGATAAACAGACTGGGGTATTGTGTCCAAAAAATGAAAACTATTATGAGAAATAGAAATAGACTGGGTAAGAGCTTAATGGTGGCAATGTAAGTGGATCCTTTTCTTGACAAAGTTTAAGACCCACATTTGACATTTTATTCCCTTTAGGATCAATAAAATGTGTGTCGTTTACATCAATGCAATGTAGGATCGCTCAGATGTTTTCCTTTAAGTCTTCAAGAGCAAATACTATGAAAGTCGTATTTACAGTATATTGTATTGTAGCTTGTCCGATACAAAATATAAACGGTATGTACTGCATCTATAGATCTATGAAAGTGAGACCGGCTCTCTCAAACTGCAAGAATAATTTACCTACAGGTACAAGAAACTCGAACCTGAATCTGATAATACTGGGCATAGACCGACACAAACAAGCCAATAACTTTAAACTGATTATTTGTTATTTGAGTGCCTTGTTTGCTTTGAACTGTGCTACAAGAATACCCTTGGCGTGTCTTGCCTTACACATTTTAGCGGTATTATATCTCACAAGTCCATCAAAGTGGTAAAGATATCCCATAATAGTCAGGGAGTTCTGTAGTTATGCCTTGGATATATACACTTTCTAGTATTCATGTCTTTGCTCATGCTGCACCTCTGATCACCTTGTCAAAGCAAGAACAATTTATCTCCCAAAGTAACTTGAATATGAAGTGGACTTTCTCTGGCTGCTAATGGTGCAAGCTGCCACGCTTTGTCTTAGCGCGGCCAGGCAGAACTTGATGAAGTATTTAAGCGCGCCAGCCTCTGTATATTCCCACAAAAGCATGAGTAAAGGGGAATCAATGAGGCCCTTCATGTAGATGGCTCATTGGCCAGTGGGGCTAATGGGGCAGAAACAGCGGGCTTTGGCATTGACTGCTGCTGCTGCTGCTGCTGCTGCTGCTGATGCCTTCAAAGATAGATGGGAAAAACCAAAGCGCTCCCCGTAGCTCGGACTCCATCATCCTGAGCACTCGTCAACGCCAGTTAGAGTGAGACATGTGGGGGACGAAGGGGAAAAAGCACGTAGTAGACAAAAGTTACACATGCAAGAAACTATGTTAAGATTAAACAATAAATATTGTAACTTATGGAAAGGAGTAAATACTAAAACAGCGATTGACGATAGAACTAAAAAAGACTAAATGTTATGTTGCATCATCTCAAAAGAAGGCAGTTGCTTTGTCGAGAATGCTCTACAATAAAGAGCTAAAGATATTGTAAAATCAAGTCACATCTATTTTTCACAACCAAAACATTGTGCACTGCAACACTTCTCTTTTAGCTATAATAACAAAGTTTAGTTTAAAACATCAAAACGGTTTGTGGCCATGCATGTAATCAATCTAAATTCAATTCATTTGAGTATAGCCAAATCTACATCACAGAATTGTCAAGCTACAAACAGCAGATAAGAAATGTAAACAATTGGAAGACATAAGTAACGCAACAAGGAAGCACACAATAATAATACTAATAATAATAACAATGCATTTGTTTTAAACACTTCCCTGCTCAGCCTCAGTGGTCTGACGGGATCTGCCTTTCACCTGCAGGTCTGTCAATTGGAATGATGTTTCAAAGGCTAATGACATTACTGTGGTTCAAATATCAATATTCCCCCAATCACAGTTTGACAATCCTGTTCTCCAAATGAAGTAACCAAATTGTTATGACTCCGATCGCCTCAAACGGTCGTCCCCCACACCTCCTGCACTCGCCTGGCCCTGACTCTGAACGCCAAGTGAAAACAGTGAAGTCAGTGCATTGGAGAGGAGATAGAACACGGAGCCTCTCATCCAGGTCTGGCCTTATCGGCGGCCGCTAAAGACGCCAGCTCAGACGCGCACCGAAGCAGCCGGATGAAAACTGATTTGTGGCGTTAACCTCAGAGCAGCGGCGCAGGAGGCAGGAGATGGTCAATTCTACCCGGAGGCTGCGGCACTGGAGAGGAAGAGGAGTCTCATTGTCATTCAGAGCATTAGTATGGGACGGGTGTGCGAGGAGGTTTGAGTGGGAGAGAGATAGAGGAGTGTTGGAGAAAGCAAGATGCATTCAGTGACTGGGGAAGATAGCATTGTGTGGTTTGAATAAAAGCAGCTCACAAAAATGGCTCACAACAAAACCTTAAAGCCGTTCGTTCGATTCTGAAGCTCAAATGACGAGTGCGGTAAGACATTTGCATAATCTGTAATTAGTGCTCAAACCTCCATCTAAAGCTCTAATTAAAGATTGAAGGGAAAGTAAAATGATGAAAAATGGGGATGAGAGCCTGCATTCTAAACATAACTGGAAGGTGGAGCATGTTGATAATTAAGGCGCAATGCATTCGTCATCGAGACAACTTCTCCTTGATTGACAAAAGCCAAAGTTCAACTCAAAGTATTCTGTGGCGAGTGCCTCCGTCCCCGTTGACTGAAGCGAGAGCCTGGCCGGACTGAAAGCAAGAATGACTTTCCTAGAATTTTGATTTCATCCATCAGTCTGACCTGAGCCAGGCTAAAATATCACACACATTTGACAACATTTCATAGATGTTATGTTTATTCTCAACTATTTCACTGAATGAAGAAACCAGCTTTATCATTCATTACCACATTCACCCTCTTTCATTCTGCACTGTGTTTGGATCCTCCCCTTTCACTACACATCCCTATATCTCTGGCTTTGATCCCGGCATACGTCACCGCCCTTCACCCGGGACAGAGCACCTCGGGCGGGGACACGGACTGACCTGTGCTGTGATCCTCTGTGGGGACCAGACGTAGATGGATAGACTGAGCGCCTCTCCTCCCCCTGGCTTTTCGAACCAACACTGGAGCTGGATAAGGTGAGGGTTGCATCAGTGAGATCAAGGGATAAACAACAACCGGTTCCCACGCCTCCTGGAAAGAGAAAGAGAGCAAATATGTGTCAAGATTCAAAGAAAAAAGGGTACATTCCATCAGTTTCATAAGGCTATATCTGTATTGGCTCTTTAAAAACATCCATCAAGTATTCTTGCGTGTGTTCACATCAAATGAATTAAATCAACCCTCTTTGCAATCTTTGGATATAAAAAAAAATGTGTCAACTATTCAAAGGGCTGGAAACATTGATTTTGAAACAGAACTTTGAAGCATTCCAGCGTTTTGACAAAAGGTGCCTTTCTTGAGCCTGTTATGCCTTTTTCAGCACAAAATGGCCAATCCTCACCTTGAGCATTTCCCTGCTACATAGTGATAACCTACACCCATAAACACGATGCATTTGAAAACATATTTGTAGTTCCATAAAATCTAATAATACAACTCTGCAACCTGTGCGTATTAAAAACTGGGATATTGATGTGCGCCTGTCTCGCGTCAGTGTACATATCTGTTTAAAATGTCTCAGCAGCAGTTGGCCATTCCAGTAGAGCCAAAATGCCTGGGTGATGCTGTGAAATAATCCATGCCGTACAGAAAAACCCCCAACAAATCAACAAAAGTGAAAGATCGCGTGGGTGTAGTAGCCATGATGTACTGTATACCTCACATTTGCATACACATAACAGGCAGACACATTCTCTGTTCTGTTCTGCAGCTATAAAAAAAAACATGTTTAGTTTATGGAGAGTGAAGGCACGCTTGTTTTGCCGTGGAAAGCGGAGGAACTGACAGTGGCACAACACAGCACAGCCGGGACTTGGCTTGTAGCTCTTTTGATCGCCAGGCATGACGGTCTGCCTTTTATTCGGCTTTGAAGAGAAAGGTTGCGCTCAAGGAAAAAAAAAAAAAAGCTAAAAAACAGGGAAGGTGTTAAACCCAGAGAGCAGACTTGGCGGCGCATCTGCCACATCAGTATGGGTGTCTTTGTTGTGAAGAAATGTCAGGGTCCTTCATGTTAGTGCGATACAGAGGAGTGAGAGCGGGGACGGGAGCACAGCAAGGCTTATTCACAACTTAAATACGATTGTGTAAAAAGTAGATGAGATTGACAATTTGGATTTTTTTGGAACCGTTTTTTTTTTTAGATTCTGCCGATTACGTATCAGCCAAATTATGTTAGATCAATCAGAGGCTCAGTTGGTAGAGCATTGGTCTCTGAACCAAACGGTCTTCGGTTCGAGCCCCCCACAACTCATGACATCTGCTCCCGCTGACTTCTGCTGTCGTTGTGAAGCTGGGCAAGACACTTAACCCCACTTTGCCAAAAACCCCTGCGGAAAGACCATGACCGTGTCTTCCCTCTTGCTGAGAGAAGAGAAAGGCTTAGATGGAAATGGACTAATAAAGGGGATGAAAATAAATGAAATGAATGAATGCTAGATCAAAGATAATTAGCCAAATAAGTTCATAAAGAAGGCAAGGAGGATATGCTGAGAAAACACATTTACACTTGGTAAGTTTGTATTGCAATGATCAAGAATTGATTGTATCATAACATGCCACGTTAATTATGCAGATCCAGCTTTCAAACAACAACAACAAAAACTTCAAATTTCTCGACTTCAACATGTATCAACAAAACAACACATTTTCCGTTCCGTTGCCCGTAATCATTAGTTTAAGTAGGTATTAGCGAAACGTAGACTTTTAAAGACCTCTCCCATCAGAACAAAACTGTAAAATCATAACGACACCTTCACCTGTCTTCTACCTCTCGTGGCATCAGCGCTCCATTACTTATTCATCCCGCACGCCTATCTTACTTTGAACTCACTTGTACAACTTCATCCCAAATTCTGCCCAAGTCCCCCGGGTACCACCGACGTCTCCAGAAATTACTGCCGTATCCATGTTTAGAAGTTTCTGCCAAGTCAAAGCTAGTTAGTGGGGAGACTAATGCAATCTTACCTGTGCGGACTGGCCATGTATTATAGATGTGGGGTCAGGGCACGAGAAACACATCGAGTTGGGAGAGATGGGAAGTTCAGTTTTGGATGGCCAAGATATGAGTCATACAGCTATAGCAGGTTGTATAGCATTTGTACTGAAAGCAGAGGCATGATCAGAAATGAAAAGGAATCGTTAAGCTTTGTGCATTTGAGCTTTGCATGTTGGGAGCTGTAATTTGCAGATAATGAGAAGGGGGAATAAAGAGCAGTGACGGTCAACTAAAATGTGTATGCTTTTCTATTCAATACCCAATGCTTCTTTAATCACTTATTCGTTCACCTTTCATTGCTGTGCACCTTACCTGCGTGTGAACTTTGCTAATGGCTGATATTCCCCGCTGTGGCTTCATTAAACTTTTATCGCATTCGTCTTTTCAAAGCGCAGGCATAATTGGAGTAATGGTTTTGTTGTTATAAGGCAAGGCTTCCGTAGGTTAAGCTAAGTTTAAAATGGGTGGAGTCAAAAGTAAACGGCAACATTGGTTAAGAGGATATTAGGATTTAGGACTGTTGAAATGAAATGAAAAACATATATATAGGGTTAGGGTAAGGTTTTACACATATACAGTAAAATCAGTGTTAGGTGATTTTAAAAGATCACAGCCTCACAACCTCTGGTGACCAGAGGGCCTGCATAAGCACAGTTGTTAGATATCTGGAACACCCACATAATGTGGCGTAAGCAATGACATGAATCAGAGAAATGTAATAAAACAAATACTCAACTTTGTGGTTTGTAGAGGAAGGTCTTTAGTAATCTTAGTAATCTTTATTTATATACCGCCTTTCACAGACCAGAGTCACAAAGCGGTTTACAATTGTTATTATTTTTGGGCATTGGTCCACTCACGCCACACAGAGATGGGAGCGGGGTCGCCAGTACAGGAGGCGTATGCCAGACCTATTGTGCATGTTTTTAGTGGTAGGGGAAACCGGAGTACCCGGAGGAAACCTACGCAGACACGGGGAGAACATGCAAACTCCACTCAGAAAGGCCCTGGTCCGGCCGGGATTCGAACCCAGGACCTTCTTGCTGAGAGGCGAGAGTGCTATCCACTCAGCCACCGTGCCGCCCTTTATGTACATATAAGATGGACGGGAGTTCAGATTGAAGCGGCATATGCAGTCCTTTCAATCCGAGACTCTCTCAAATATTTACAAATGCTGCTTATATAGCTTTGGTCGGCCGGGAGGAGTTAAGAAATGTTCTCCGTAATTTCCTTTTTGGATACACAGTTCAACTTGCATTGACTTGTCCGGTTGGATGATGTATGTCATCTGTCTTTCACGGTCTGTCTCCATGCTTCTGTGTCAGCATTGCGATCCGATATTTTTGTGAATACCTCTGTGTCTGTATTTAGTTCCCTGACCCAACAGTGAACCAAGATGTTCAGAAAAAACATACTTACATACAGTATAAAAGAGTACATTCAGTTTAGATCCCCATTCACCATCCACCGCTTTTTGATGTGTGTATTGCCGTTTATTTCTTTTGGTTTGACAATAAATGAGAAAACTATAAATAAATTACAAAAATAGCATATTACAATACAGAACCCGTGACCTGGGTTCTGCTCCACCCAGAGGCTACTCCATCTCTGCTGCTGTGACCCGTCCTGCTCCACCCAGAGGCTACTCCACCTCTGCTGTTGTGACCTGAAGGCCTGTGGCTGATTAATATTATTATTAGCTTTTTAGAATGATTTTATTTTTTACTGCTACTGGACACCTGAATTTCTCCGACGGGGATCAATAAAGTATCTATCTAGAACTTCAAGAGCTGATTGGCAGTTCCAGGGTGGTTTTACTTTGTTTCTTCCATCTTTCACAACCATATCATAGTCTAAAGATGTGCAAATGGAAAACATTCATTCATGCAGATTAGTGAATTATTTTAAACATTTTTAATTAATTGGTGAATAGACTGACATACCATACAGAAGCAACAAATACACAAAGACCGAAACAAAGAACAGCGTGTGTGAGCAGCAGTGTGTGTGTATGTCTATGCATGAGTGTGTGTATGAGCGCTTATCTTATCAGTTTATAGCCAGCCCCCACCTCCCTCTCTGCCTCTGTATCCCTTTGCTTTTTGCGTTCTAATATACATGTGTCTCAGGTGGTGGACACAGCATGTTTGATGTCAAGTCTCTATCTCTCGAAAAGGAGGTACCCAAGCTTTAATAGACTGAACCATCCTTGAAAAATGCCTTCCACGTCCCCCCTTCTACTCTTTGATAATGAGACGTTTCTCCAGCATCAGCGCTGATCTCCGTATCATTCGAGTCTCCGAGTTCAGAACACAGACTTTGCCTCCATGTCATCACTTTCCGAGGACGTGTTTCCTTCTCCCCTCGCCGCTCCCATTATCGTCCTTTTAGTTCCACTTTTATTAGCGCAATCTCCAGCACTTGCCGCACTTTGATCCATTTGCACGCCGCCGCCGCCGCCATGACACTTCTGCACGGCCTTTCCAAGAGAGCCTTTGTACAATTCATGTGTCATTTAAGTTTATTAGTGTATTATTTCTGATATGCAAATGAGAGTTTCTCTATATCTATTACATTGTATTGTGAGGATCCTTATGGACATGTACATATCTATAGAAAAGGCATGTCAAACTCAGGCCCGTGGACCAAATCCGGCCCGCAACACCATTCTTAGTGGCCCGTATATATTTAAATATCCTCTTAAAGCTGCACTGACTTTGAGAAATGTTTGAATGAGAGCGCTGGCCTCGCTCTTTTTGCTCACCCTCCCTGCACTGAGCTTTCTCCCCCCACTACCCTCCTCCCCCTCAGCCTGCGCTCACATGCTACATGCTACGCTATGTAAACGGAGCTTACGTCTTACAATATGGATCGCACATGGATGGCGTAACCATTGAATGAACCGGGAAGCAGGAGGAACGAGACTTTCTTTTGGATGTTTCGCTGTGTAAGCAGAAACCGGTAACAAAGACACGTGAAGTTTCAGGTTAGCCTCCGCCGCTTGTTTACCTCAGCTGTCTGTGCTAACAAGAGACCTGTAGATTAGAGCCCTGCACGGGCCTATTATCTGGGCCCGAGCCCGGCCCTGGCCCGAGGGGGTGGCGCCCCAGCCCGGCCCGGCCCGATATGGTTTCTCAATTTTCAGGCCCGAAACCCGCATCAAGCCCGCCTTTTTTTTTTTTTTGTAACCTCCCATAACAATGTTTTAGCGTAGTATATAGTGCCGCGCACTGATATGAACGCAGACTTAGCTAGAGGGCGGAGTTATACATGGTAGTGATGTGTTGCAATGAGTTCTGTGTGTGCGGAGTGGTGCAGAGTGAACGGCCGCATCTGTATGATACACAGCTGTATGATACACAGCTGTATGATACACAGCTGTATGATGCCCAGATGCTGCAACACACCTGTAAGTAACGCTATGTGCCGTCAATGACAACACTACACAGAACAACAAACACTACAGCGTGATAGAACGCTATATTCAGTGGGTGCGTTCGTAAATGTATTCTGCCGCTCTGAAAATGAAGAGCCCGAGCCCGGCCCGTGTCCGAGGTCATTATGCGGTCATCGGCCCGAAGCCCGGCCCTCGGGCTGTCGGGCTGTCGGGGCCCTCGGGCCAAGGGCTCAAGTGCAGGGCTCTACTGTAGATCTTCTCAAGAAAGTGGGGGCCAGTGGTCCGCTGTGATTGGTCACAATCTGGACCCGAAACACATTCTCTTCTTTGTTGCACCAAAACTCGATCTAAAATAAAATGACACGCCAGCACAAATCTGCGCTACTTTTTCTTTAAAAGGACGTTTATCACAATGCACTGCATGGATATGGATTGAATTTTCGTAAGGAATAAAAAAAATAAAGTCAGGTAATGCAGCTTTAAACAGCTGATTTGGAGACCTGTTTTATGTATTTTACAATTGCGTTTCTGCTCTTTTACTGTATTTATATTTAGAGCTTGTGTTTTTGTGTTTTTATATCTGTCTGTAAATGAAGTTCCTCACTGATGAGTAAAGTTTTTTTAATTGAATTGACTTGAACATGAACTTTCCGTAATGGATGATTGACGTAATGAACGACCGTTGCATGTTATACATAATCTATTTTCTCATGTAAAAACATTTAATTAATTCTAAAACAAATCATTAGACGTTAAATCCAAATAATAAACATATGTCATGTCAAATAAAAGTAATAGAGTATGTGTAGATGTGAATAGCTCTCTCAAACGGCAAGATACAGTTACCTACATGTACAAACAAAGAAACTGATTTGCACCTGATTCAGAGCAATGACTCATGTAAGAGTGAAGGCAAAGCACTCACATTAAAGAACTATCATTAAAACCAGAAACAATTACATACATCTTCTGTTTTCTTAGGACAAGCAATGAGCACCTGGTGAGCGAGGTGCAAAATAGTTTCCCATTTTCTTCATAATCAGATAAAATGATGTCGATTAGGTGTTCAGCAGAGGACGGCCAAGCAATCAGCAATTAAATGCAGGGTTTGTACAGAAAGAAAACGAATGGGCAGAAATAAACTCTAATCATTGTGTCTTGTGCATTCGAGCATTGCGTATTTCAAGCTGTAATTTGCGGGTAATGTGAATGGAACGGATGCAGGAATCTATAAAAGTCAGTAATGAATGTACAATGTTAAAAATAGTTGTGAAAGTTTCCTTCTGAGGAACCAAAGCTTTTTATTTTATTTATGAAGAAGCGTAAGTGGTGCGCAGCCTTGTGTGTGTTTGTCCTTGTTCAATAGTTGGAACCATTTATCGAGGCGGAGGAATGAAAGGTAGAAAAGTATCGCAACCCTAGATACACACGCTCGCTTGTGGTGGAGGCTGGCGAACAAAAAGTAGAAGGGAATTCTTTTGGGAAAGGGTCCAGCTGGGATGAACAATGGTGGTAGTGATTAGTGTGTCGAGGTGGGGCGCCACAACATGCTTACGCCTGTTTTTTATCCGGACCGAGCCGGCGTACCAGCCCCTTCCGCTCTCAGCACGCCCCTGCCACTCCAGT